GTACAATGTGACAGATGTACATACTCCATGTTTGTTACAGGTGTGAGAGCGGAGATTTTTTGGTTCCTTTCGGTTTAACATCAACAACTAAGCTCCGTTGGTCTATACTCTGAAGTCGAAGGTTCAAATCAAGGTCAAATCCGGAAGGTTGTTCAGAACAATGTTGTTGAAACATTTTGTTTATTTCACCCTTAAGTTGTTCATAAACGTCCCGCGAGGTATGGATTTCTTTTCGGAATTGATTAAAAAAGAAAGCTATAGATATTCCGGGGAATAAATCCAAAGCGCAGTATCAGGTTTTGTTACTGGAGCAGGGATCCTTGAAACTGTGTTTGCAATAAAAAATCTTCTTTCATCTGAAACACTTATTTTTTTATTTATTTTTTGTAAACGTACGAAAGTCGGCATTGGTCTTTCCTTTCGGTGTAAATACTTCAATGAACGAGGAAGTCCAATAACAGACAATGTTATATTGGGTTTTGTCATATTATTTAACTAAATCGAACTAATCACCAATAGTTCTTATATTTTCACATCTGTTTGGAAGATGACAATACAGGTACTATTGGATAGAACAAGGCATTAAATACAAGTACTTATACCTATTAATCCGGAACTGTAATCAGCAAACAACTGGGCAGCCATGTTGCTTTTTTCACAATAAAAGTAGTGAGACACACATTAATCCTGGATATTGATTGATAACACCAATTTTGCTCGGATTGTTTGTCTTGTCACCATGGCCATCCCTTGCCGGAAAGGAAGCGTTCTAAACGTATAAGGAGCGAACTGAAACCCTGAAACAATAGATAAACACAAACTTTATCAATTTCATATAATCACTGCTTCATAGATTTTTAGATGACTAACAGAATCTTTCTCTACCTTGAGGGTATAGCACATAAATCTATAACCAGAGACATGATGTTTTGATTGTTTATACCGAGCCTCTGCCGAGGGTTACAAAACCATATAATCACCCCGAAAACACCCGACCACATGGGTTTACTCTGGGGACGCCGGCTGCCTCCGGTTTCCACATTAAGACCCCCCGAGCGCTAATATCCGGGCCAACAAGAGTGATTAAAATAAATTGTGAGAACTTGTTTCATAATTTAAATTGATTTAGTCATATTTAATGGGATGGAGGGAATCATATGCCATTGCGGATTTGTGGCCCATTAAGGAGTGATGAAAGAGATTTGTAAGGGTGTCATAACATTTGTATAATCTGATATAGAGGAATATAAAACATGTTGATCAAGTTTACTTACCGAAATGGGCTTACATGTACTCGTATCATTTTGTAACCATCTGTGCAAGTCTGTTATTTCCTGATCCTTCTGTGGCTGATGCAGTTTAGTGCATAAGTCGATGCTGGAGAACGGTACACTCATAAGCAGTCGATACTGTTTCTTCCATTCAAAGTAACTGTTGAATTCTGCATCATTGTGAGTGAGATAGTTTAAATATTTACCTAGATCTGCGACGGTTTCAAAGTCATGTAAATTGATGAAAGATTTCGGCGGTACAAGTTCTTTCATCGCTGTTTCCTCAAGCCATGGCCAGTTCACAACAGGAATAACGTTGTCCTTTAATGAGTTCCAAAACTTCTCGGTGATGTAATCCCTGCAGTTTGAGTTCTCGAATGCAATCCTAAATCGATATTGGCTTGACGTACATATGCTTTCACTTGTTCGTGGGCAGGATAGAGTTCCACAACCCCCGTATTGATGAAGGTTGATATAGCGGGCTAGTTTCTGAAGTATTCTGTTTCGGTTTGCATTGTCGAGGCAATCACTAACGATCGATGCTGCCATTTTGGATTTCGTCGCTGCATAATTGATTGGAGTATATTCGAGTTGTTCCTCTTTTGATAGAGGCCCAAATCGACCGTAGAAAGCATGTATCGTTGAATCACGTCTATATGTAAGTGTCCAGTTAAACATGTTGTTCACCCGTCTCAGATCTCTACTTACAGAATATCTGAACACATTGGGAGGTGCCTCGGCATTGATAACTATCCACACCTGACTTTCATCCCTATAGTCGGGAATTGTACTATTTATATCACGGAGATGAAATACAACTGCATCTGCAGATTTTATTTGCGATTTATCTGCTGTAGCAATACACTTAAATTTACATAGTTTAAACGCGTTCTTAAATGAATCCACCCAGGTTTCGTCAGAAAAGAATCCGGTCCATATCAACACAGTCTTAGACGTCTTATTTACCCAATGAGATGTGTTGTGGATATCGATTAACATAACCGGTTGCTGCAATACGCCAGTGTCCGAGTGTCTCTGTAAATTTATCTGCCAAATAACCATGACAATAACGAATGATATGATTAATAACATATACTTGTGACAAATTTGCATTTTTTTATACATTTCCTTACATCCAAAAGCTTTAAAATAAGAATAATCATTCACTTCCTCATTACATGTACAATGTACACAATATCTTTATTGAGTCACACCTTGTACTTGTACCCGACGACTGTGCACACACCTACGTGTGATATCTGCTAGATACTTGGTGAACCGCTAAATAATACCTGACATCAAAACATGAGCACTGTCGTGTACCCGTTACGGGTGGATCTTTTCAAGATGGCGAGGCGAGATCATCACAGAAGGTAGGTTGTCACTTTAGTACACGACAGTGATGATAAGGTGGCAGACGACATGAATTCCAACACACATGCACATGACAACATCCGGTGATTATAAGGGGCGACTATCATCCGGATAAGGACGTATCCAAACACTACACAACGGAAGAGTATAAGGGCATGAGTGGTGTTATTTAGGTTATTGACACTTAGCAGAAAATGTTACAAGGAAGATGGCGGATTTCTGAAAGTTTTCGTATGGCGATATTTTTTTGTCTTGGTGGTAGATTCCTTCATATTCGAGTAAGTACTACGAAAAAAAGGAAATTTGGTTTAGGCTAGGTGGCCCTAATGCTTTTCCGTATACAGTAGAGAGGGATTGAGATAAATGACTGATTGACATCTTTACACTGTATTTCTTTATTGCGATGTGTTTAAAACCTACCGTGACAATAAAACGATCAAACAAAGGCGTATGTCAGAGGAATTACGTTCAAATTTCGGTTTAATCTAGTGTGACAGCTTTTGATTAAATTCAACAATTTTTGTTGATCTTAAATGGAAAAGCTATGGCTATTATATTTTAGTCAGTAGAAAAGTTTGACTATTCACAAGAGCATAGTCTTGTGATTCTTTGTAGGTATCGTTTGACACCATCAAGAAAACGACAAAAGTGTTCAAGTATACATTAAAACATCTTCAAATTAAATTATATACAATGTGAACTATTAAATGACTCTGACCAATCCCCCCTTTTACAGAGGAAATTTTGCAACCTTAATATTCTGAAAGCCTTTTAAACAATATACCGTTTGGTGAAATGCCAGTATATTTGACCAAAAACGTACTATAAATATTTTATCATTCTTGTTAAATTTAACAATTTACATAATATAACAATACGACATTTCTTAGTATATTGACTGTTTTTTAACAAGAATCGTCTTATATAAATACAAAGTTCCCAGCTTTCATGCTCAGTTAGTGAGTCGTTCTCTCCTTTAAGTTATATCATTTTTTACAAACAGTACATATATTGCATGCAAGTCACAACACTTTCAGCTGTATACAGCTTAACAACCAAATAAACGTGACTCGTCACGGATAAGTGCGCGCAAACAAAGGTAAGCTAAGGAGGCACGTTAGTTAGTGGTAGGATGCGAGGCTCGTGACCGGAGGGTTGCGGGTTCGAGACACGTCACGGTACTGTGTTGTATCCTTGAACAAGAAACTTTACTCCGCTTGTTCCAGCCTACTCAGCTGTAAATGAGTACGTGGTAGGGCAGTGCTGGAATTGTTGAATGCAAAGGCCCTATAACCACGGATAATAATTTGTGAACCGCTTTGAAGCGACATAGGACCTAGACCGGGATAAAGCGGTATATAAGAACCTCGAATTAAGTTGGACATTAAATCGGTAAAGCGTTAAGCATTCTTGACATTCGAATGTGGCATTTATCCGTCGCTGAAGCATTGACTTGCTTCCAGTTGCCATTCACAGGCAATATCAGTGGCATTTGGGAAAAGAAAAAGTTCAATGAAGCGCGCTAACTCTTTATGTTGGAATTGCGTTTGGCAATTTGACCATTTTTGGAATCTGTTTATCTCATAGACAAGTCAATTACACTCATTTTTGTCTCGCCGCCACGAAGTAGCTATATTACATATTAAGTTTTTGCGTTTAAGTTTCTCTAAAACTTTAAGTGCTAGACCATAGGTGCATCTTAGGTAGAACATCTCAACCAATGTTAAAATGCTGAATGCCGCCTACCTTTCATGGTCCATTGACTTTGTCAGCATCTCCATCAACATCAAGTTTTTGCGTTTAAGATAGTTTCTCTGAAACAATTAGTGCTACACCAACCAAACTTGACATGTTTATCGATGGTCAAAGCGGGGCACAGGCAAGACATATCGATCCGAATGGCTTGATATCCAGCATTAAGTTGAAATAATTTGTTTGTCATATATGCTTGTTCAATTTATAAAACAACCATCTGTCCAGAGAGGGTCATTGGTTTCCAACTTAACGATTATGACGTCATCATAACGATGATATAAGCAATCATCTGAATTTAATTGGATCATATAGTGGCAATGCCATACAATGGTTAGTATTTACACAAGGACAGCTAGTACAGTTTGATGACGACATATTAATATTGTTATAAAACTTTAACAACTCATATTAATCTCAAGTCATATACAAATGTATAAGAAAGGTTTGTTAAAAAACAGAGTAATGGATTGCATCAACAAGGTGCAAATAAGCTGATGGTAGATTATCAAATGGCGATACCGTTCAAAATATTAAATGCAGGATCCTCGTCCTAGTACTACAGATCCCCTACTTATACGGGCTTCTTTGGACGTCCTATTACTAGAGATATCTTACACCTAGATGCTTTTTACAACGTCCTAGTACTACATATCCCCTACAACTACGGGCTTCCTTCGACGTCCTTGTACTGGAGACATCTTACACCTTCATGCTTCCTACGACGTCCTTGTGCTGGAGACATCTTACACCTTCATGCTTCCTACGACGTCCTTGTACTGGAGACATCTGACACCTTCATGCTTCCTACGACGTCCTTGTACTGGAGATATCTTACACCTTTACGTTTCCTACGATGCCCTAGTACTACAGATCCCCTACTTATAGGGGCTTCTTTCGACGTCCTACATGTAGTACTAGATATATCTTACACCTACAGGTTTTCACAACGCTCTAGTAGTAAAAATATCTTATACCTTGATGCTATTAACAACGACATTGTACTATATATCCCCTACTCCTACGGGCCTAGTACTGGAGATATCTTACACCTACACGTTTCCTACGATGCCCTAGTACTACAGATCCCCTACTCATACGGGCTTCTTTCGACGTCCTACATGTAGTACTAGATCTAGATATATCTTACACCTACAGGTTTTCACAACGCCCTAGTAGTAAAGATATCTTACACCTAGATGCTATTTACAACGACATTGTACTACAAATCCCCTACTCATACGGGCTTCTTCCAAAGTCCTAGTACTAGAGATATCTTACACCTACATTCTTCCTACAACGTCCTATTACTAGAGACATCTTACACCTAGATGCTTCCTACAACGTCTTTGCACTAGAGATATCTTAAACCTTCATGTTTCCTACGACGTGCTAGTAGTACTTCCTACGGACTTGCTACGGACTTCCTACGGCCCTTCTACGACGTGCTAGTAGTACTTCCTACGGACTTCCTACGGGCTTTTTACGGGTTTTCTACGGTCTTCTTACGGTCTTCCTACGAAGTGCTAGTAGTACTTCCTACGGACTTTCTACGGGCTTTCTACGGTCTTCCTACGATCTTTCTACGGTCTTCCTACGGGCTTCCTACGGTTTTCCTATGGTCTTCCTACCACGTGCTAGTAGTACTTCCTACGGACTTCCTACTGACTTTCTACGGTCTTCCTACGGTCTTCCTACGACGTGCTAGTACTACTTTCTACGGACTTCCTACGGGCTTTCTACGGTCTTCCTACGGTCTTCATACGACGTGCTAGTAGTACTTCCTACGGACTTCCTACGGTCTTACTACGACGTGCTAGTAGTACTTCCTACGGACTTTCTACGTACTTCCTACGGACTTCCTACGGGCTTTCTACGGTCTTCCTACGGTCTTCAAACGACGTGCTAGTAGTGCTTCCTACGGACTTCCTACGGTCTTCCTACGGACTTCCTACGGGCTTTCTGCGGTCTTCCTACGGTCTTCCTACGACGTGCTAGTAGTACTTCCTACGGACTTCCTACGGGCTTTCTACGGTCTTCCTACGGTCTTCCTACGACGTGCTAGTAGTACTTCCTACGGACTTCCTACGGGCTTTCTACGGTGTTCCTACGGTCTTCCTACGACGTGCTAGTACTACTTACTACAGACTTCCTACGGACTTTTTTTCGGACTTCCTACGGTCTTCCTACGACGTGCTAGTAGTACTTCCTCCAGACTTTCTACGGGCTTTCTACGGGCTTTCTACGGTCTTCCTACGACCTGCTAGTAGTACTTCCTACGAACTTCCTACGGGCTTTCTACGGACTTTCTACCGTCTTCCGACGGTCTTCCTACAACGTGCTAGTACTACTTCCTACGGACTTCCTTCGGACTTTCTACGGTCTTCCTACGGGCTTCCTACGGTCTTCCTACGACGTGCTAGTAGTACTTCCTACGGGCTTTCTACGGTCTTCATACGATCTTTCTATGGTCTTCCCACGGGCTTCCTACGGTCTTCCTATGGTCTTCCTACGACGTGCTAGTAGTACTTCCTACGGACTTCCTACGGGCTTTTTACGGGCTTTCTACGGTCTTCCTACGGTCTTCCTACGACGTGCTAGTACTACTTTCTACGGATTTCCTACCGGCTTTCTACGGTCTTCCTACGGTCTTCCTACGACGTGCTAGTAGTACTTCCTACGGGCTTTCTACGGTCTTCCTACGATCTTTCTACGGTCTTCCTATGGTCTTCCTACGACGTGCTAGTAGTACTTCCTACGGAGTTCCTACGGACTTCCTACGGTCTTTCTACGGTCTTCCTACGGTCTTCCTACGACGTGCTAGTACTACTTTCTACGGACTTCCTACCGGCTTTCTACGGTCTTCCTACGGTCTTCCTACGACGTGCTAGTAGTACTTCCTACGGACTTCCTACGGTCTTTCTACGGTCTTCCTACGGTCTTCCTACGACGTGCTAGTACTACTTTCTACGGACTTCCTACGGGCTTTCTACGGTCTTCCTACGGTCTTCCTACGACGTGCTAGTAGTACTTCCTACGGACTTCCTACGGACTTCCTACGGTCTTCCTACGACGTGCTAGTAGTACTTCCTACGGACTTTCTACGTACTTCCTACGGACTTCTTACTGGCTTTCTACGGTCTTCCTACGGTCTTCCTACGACGTGCTAGTAGTACTTCCTACGGACTTCCTACGGTCTTCCTACGGACTTCCTACGGGCATTCTTTGGGATTCCTACGGTCTTTCTACGACGTGCTAGTAGTACATCCTACGGACTTCCTACGGGCTTTCTACGGTCT